GCTGGCAGCGCGGCCAGGGGCCTGCCAGAAAGGTGGGGGGGGGACTTTTGAGCAGGAGCTGTTGGGACAGGACAAGGGGTGATGGCTTTAAACTGAAAAATGGGAGATTCAGACTAGAGAGAAGGAAGAACGTTTGATGCTGAGGGTGGTGAGCCCCTGGCCCAGGTTCAATTCTGCTCCTGAGCACAGGTTTTTACCTCAGCAAGCACCACGTAAGACACGTAACTGCTGAGTCCCCTGTGTGCATCCCTCTGCACGTGGACATCCTGAGTCTGACTGATTTTCAAAGCAGGGATCTTATCTAGAGCAGCACATCAGCCCCCTGCAGTCATACAACTTAGAATGGTTCAAACTCAGGTTTGAGAGACATTCTGCTTAGAGAAAGTATTTGTAAAAAAAAAAAAATCAAATTAAAACAGAAAAGTGATGGGATGAAGTGCAGAGAGACAATTCCTCCTTCAGAGCAGAAACGAGTCCTGGGAGAAGCACTGGCTGGGAGAGGTATAACTGGTTAGAGAGAAGTTACCAAGTGCTGGGACAGCCCCACCAAAACCCAAGGCAGGAACAGCCCCAGCAGCGTTACCAGTGCTCTGATTCGCCTGTTCACTGAATTACCCCAAGCATTACCTGCAGGAGTTACAAAATTCTATTCCAGGTTGTTATTTTTTGGAGACCTGAGTATTTTCCCTCACAGAGTCCAGGAAGCACTGGCCTCCCTGGGCATGGCTGACTGCCCCAGCTGTGGTAGCTGTGATTTCTCCCCAGGGCTCTGGCTGGGCTCTGGTCTCTCAGCTATCAGCCCTGCACTCTTCAGTCTTCTTAAAAAAGGCAGCTTGAGACAGTGCTGATGTGACTGCTGCTGTCCCCATCGAGCTCACCAGCCAACTCACTCATTACCAGCATCGATCAGAACAAAGTGCAAGTGTGAATTAAAATACTTTTCTGAATACTATTTGTCATTCCAATCCAAAATGACAAATATTTTCATTCATTTAAAATATATCTTTTTCAAAGCAGCACGATTGCTTCAAAGATTTGACAGTGTATTTCATCACCTCCCTTGTAATTTTTTAAGTGATCACTGATCTAAAAACACAGTTAGCATTTCTGATTATGAGAAACTGAAATTCAATACATAAATTACTGAAGTAAACCAGAGATAAACAGTGTTTACATAAAGACTTTGTTACTCTAGATTTTTCTCTGTGTGGTCATCAGAAGCATTTTAACCCGAGCAAGAGAGACTGACAGCCATGTAAAATTACACCACACATGCACAGTAACCCTGTAGCAGGTGGACTCCAGTGGAGCAGCCCATCGTACCTGTCGCAGCGCTGGGTTTGCCTCCTGCCTCTGGCTGCAGGGTCGGGTGGTGGCTCCAGGGAGCCCCGTGGCAGGGTGGCCGTGGGGCTGGGACGGGACCCTGGGGGCTCCTGGCCTTCCCTGCAGCTCGGCTGCACCCCGGCACGGCCGGTCCCACTGGGGCTTTCTGCTGGCCTTCCCCTCCTCCAGCAGCTTTCCAGAGGGTCCCTTTCCTTCTCCTGCTGGGTGCTGGGCTGGGGCTCCTGCTCCTCAGCCTGGGGCGATGGCACCTCCTGCTGCCCCTGCTGCCCCCCAGCCCAGAGCTGAGGGAACGGGCTGTGTGTTCACTCTGTTCCAGGTGGAGCTTTTGCTGGGAGCCTTTTGTCAGCATGGAGGGACAGCAAATGATAAATTACTGTGCCATTTTTCTCACAGTGCTGTGGGCCATGGTCTACAAAAAACTCAAAAAATAAATTCCTACAGCTTGACTTCCTGAGCACAGCTTCAGGCTTTTCCCTAAAACTGGGCTTGTGGGATCTTCAGCAAGCCATGGGACATACCCTGTGTTATGAAGAATGCTTTGGAACAGCCCCCTTCATTGTCATCCACATCTATCTTTCCACGAGTTACTCCTCTGGAACTCTTCCTATAATCTTCTTCCAAGACAGCTTTTTAAATAACAATGAATAACAGATATAAACGTGTGACATAGAAAACAGGACACGGTGACTTCCACAGAGAAGCAATTTACTGCCTGCTTAGCAGGGAACCAGGATATATCCAGTTTATCTGAATTAGTAGATCGCTCCTTAGGCAGAGCTGGGAGCTGTTCCGAGCAGCAGAGCCAGGGCTCACGGGAAGGAGCCTGTGGCTGGAGGAGAGGGAGGGGGTTTTTGGCTTTCTTCTTCATCACCTTAGTTCTGTCTTCTCAAAATGCTCAGTCAAAGGTTCCAGTGGTGGAGACATCACCTGAGCAGACATGTCCACATACCCTCGTTCAGCTTCAGTCTGAAAGGGTCACAAAAAATTGCACCTTCCATCGCCAGTAGCAGAATATCAGAGGGGTTTGGGGTTTCTGAAGTGGCAAAGTCTCTTTTTCTGTCTTGGTAACCAACGTTGTCTTCCTGTCGGTAACAGTAGAAGCAATTGCAGCTTCCTCAGAAGGCTGAAACAAGAAAAGATAAAAAAAAGATGGATCAAAGAAAAGTATATCTGGGCAAAAATGGCATGCATGGAATTTCTGTATGGTTTATATTTATAATTATCTGTTTGAACTGGACAGCTGACAAAAAAGGATTTGTGTTGTATTCTGTCGAGGCTGATGGCTGCTGGAATGTTCCCCCAGTGCAATCTAGGGCTTGGTGACTTCTGCCAGCTCTGGAAGCACACGCTGACAATTTATCACCTATTTCCATGAGGGAGAAGGGAGGTTGAGGCAGTGTTTGAGGACCCATGGCATGAGGCTTGGAGAAGCACATGAATGTTCTAGAACAGTTTGTTCCAGTTGCTCAGCCTGGACAGGACAAGCTAATGCAAGAGGTTCAGCTGTGCTGCGAGTGTGTCAGAGACCCCAGCAGGGTGGGGAGAAGGGGAGGTGGATTCCATGGATTTCCAGCAAGGACCAGCTGGAGCAATGCCCGCTGCACTCAGGGGAACGGGCACAGTCTGGCTGTTCACCCTGGTTTGCTAGAGGTTCCCATGCTTCCAGGCCTCTGTGTTCCTCACTGTCCTCGTCCTTTGCTCTGCAGAAGGAAATTGTGTTTGACAAGTTTTTAGCCTGCTGGTTCCTGGGCTTCAGAGTTTTTTAGAGGTGTTAGAGATTTCAGTTTCTGGGCTATGTGGGGTGCCCAGAAAGGCCCCCAGTGCTGCTGAAGTACCCTGAGTAGCAAGGGGAAGGCTCTGGTGCTTTACAAGAAGAGGGGAGAGCAGAGGTGATCTGAGCACTTACCTTCTGCATGTGGCCTGAAGGACTATGACCAAAGAATGAAAGCTAAAGAGAAAAATAAAAACAAAAATAAAAACTGAAAAGGGGAGGGAAGAGAGGAAAAAATGGAAGAGAAGAAAGAGAATAAGAGTTTACAGTGTGTTTAGCTGAGAACCAAGCTGTGGTTACAGACAGTGCAACAAAACTCTCGGTTGAAAGGAAATATGAAGTGTGAAGGAAGCTCTGAGGGCTCGGGGCTCAGCTCAGCCCCACCAGGGCCCCCGTGTCCATCAGACCAGTGAGAACCATCTCCTGTCCCAGCAGAGACCAGCCTGGCCACAGCCAAGGGCTCAGGAAAAACTGAGCTGAATTCTTCTGAGATCTCAAAAAACCCCAGACCCAACAGTGCCAAGGTTTGGGTTCAGTTCCAGGTACGAGCCCAGCCCAGCCCCTGCTGTACCTGAGCAAGCTCTCCCATGGCAATTCCACTAGGAGCAGGCTCAGATGAGGGTCATTTTAGGGTAAAATTCAGCAGTTGTGGCTTGGCTAGAGGAAGCTTGATGACATTAACTGTGGTGACAGTGACTGTTGTGGCTGCAGGTGAGGAGAGGAGAAAGACCCTCCTCCTCCTCCTCCTCCTCTCTGGGAAGGTAGCTCTGTGCAGTGCACGTGCTGGGGACAGGATGGAGACAAGACCCTGGCTCCTTCCCTGGGTACATGCTGACCTCACCCCTGTGCTGCCTGGCCACCCCATCACTGCCTGCCCGGGCAGAGGGACCCCCACGTCCCTGCCCAGCCCGTGCTGGGGAGAACAGAAGGAAAACTCCACTTCAGGTGGCACCTTCTCCTTCCCAGAGGGACTCATGCAAACGCAGAGTGGTTCCCTGCAGCACTCCCACGTTAACGAGCTCACTGCGCTAATGAATGTGAACTTCATAGGAGGCTTTTCATAGCCAAGGTGAAATGAACAGATGGTCATGTGCACATACAAGAACTCTTTCATCTGCATTACCTTACCTTTTCCTCTAACTCTTTTATCTGTCTTTTTTGGCCTTCAATTCTTTCTTCTAGCTCTTTAATTCTCTGTCAGATTTCAAATAAAAAAATATTTATTAACCAACCAAATACAGATGTACACGGAAGATGCATTATTGCTGGAGATACAAATTGTATGTGCCGTGCTTCTGAAAAACTGTAATTGGGTTTTAAGCTGTAGATGAGCCCTCTGGGAACGTTGCTGTGTGACAGACTGATGAAAATCAAACCGCCCTGCTCCAGGGATCATCCGAGTCAGCCACAGCCTGGCCCCAGGACCAGCCGTTCCTGGCCCAGCTCTGTGAGGAGAGGCTGCTGCTCACAGGTTCGTCACGATTCCACCTGCACCCCGAGACCTGTGCCCCTGCTCCAGTGCCTACCTGCTGTGCGTGCTGGATGAGCTCCATCCTCTCCCGCAGGATTTGGGCGTCCCTCTCCCGGAGCTCGCTCATGACCTGCCGCTTCCACTGCTCTACGGCGCTCCTCAGTTTCTCTTTCTCCTCTTCTGAAAGAAGTTCGGAAATTTTGGCTCCAGCTTCTTGCTGCAGGGCATCATAGAGCATGGCTTCTAATTCCAGAATTTGCTAATCAAAAACAATATAAGGCTGTCAGCTGGACCTTGTCTCTGGTGGGATGAGGGTTTTGTGAGGAGCTGAAAATCCCACCCCGGTGAGGCGACGGGAGTGGCAGAGGGGTCCTGTGCGGAGCCTCCCGCTCGGGGCAGGGCAGGAGACGTGGGCCAGGGGTGTTTACAAGAGCAGTAACCTCATGGCAGGAGCTATGGATGCTGCTGGGAATGGAAAGACAGCAACCACGGTGCCTCTGCGAGCGAGATGAGAGCTGATCTCAGAGGAAGATCCTGGTTTCAGTGTTTAAAACAACTCCAGCACCCTCGCTAGCCCAGACTGCCTCAGCCCAACGCTGTTATTTGAAACAGGGGTTTCTGCTGGGCCCCGAACCTCAATTATACACCAGTGATCCCTCCTGGATTATGTTGATTTGGGAAGACAGAGGAGCGTGGGGAAATTCACGGTCTGTGGAGCAGCAGCAGTGCTGGGAGTCTGTGTGAGCCAAGCGCTTCTTGGAGCAAACTCCCCCGCCAGCAGCCAAAGGGAGTGAAAACCGTGCAAAAAGCTGCACAGTTACAGCTGGTAATCTTGTTGGCTGTAGCTGCTGGGGGGATTAGCAGCTCCTCATCTCAAGGGGCACAAAGGGAACAGGGAAGTGAGACAAATCGTACACATCAGAAGAGCTTTTGGCACTCGGTGTGAGGGCAGAACAAAGCCCTCTCGCTGTCTGCAGCCTGTGTTTGTGCCCAGGAGGAGAGCCCCTCACTTTCCCTGGGCATGCTCGCCTGATGCCTTCAAAGAGCACAGGAAAATGCAAAAAAAAACCCCTCAGCTACTTCTGTGTGGGTTGCAACACAGTCTGGGATGCTTGTTCTCTCTCCTTAAAAATCATCCTTACAGGAAGAGGATGTGTATTGAGCAAAAGCTCCCCCAAATGGTTTGAGATACAAATACATAGCAGATACCCAGAAAGAGAGGCAGGAGTGCTCATGGCTTCTCAGAAGGCATAATTGTGCTCAGGATTTAGATGGAACTGAAAGAATAAATCGATGTGAACATCTGTGCATTTGTGTCTCTCATGAGTATATTCTGATCTTTTCTCTGACTGAATAAGCAGACAGCTGATGACTGAAGAAGTGGTTAAAATGGGTTAGGGTCAGCTAATGGCAAACCTGACCTAAAAGCAGTTTCATTTCAGGTTTACAGAATCACATAATACCTCAGCTGTTTTGGTTACAGAGGCTGTAATCTAAGAGCTAAGGAAATGTCTAGGTCAAAATCTCTACTTTGGAAGGAAAAGATAAGTTACTGAATACAAGATTTTCTTCAGTCGTGTGTCAAAACCTCTGCTAAATTACAGTTTGAGTTTAATAAATCAATGCTTAGATCCTAATCCTGCAAGAACCATGCCAACACAAGGAACTCACTGTTAGCTCAGGGTATAGAGGATTTGATTAAAATTCAGCCTATTTAGTCTTCGGGGCACTCCAGGAGCAGTACTGTCTGAAGCAGAGAGTTTTTCTGCAGAGAACAGACTACACGTATTACACAAGCTGTCATTCAATCCAGGCTGGGTTTCCTCACCTTGTGAGCTTTGTCCAAGGACTGCTTCCTGAAGTCGAGCTCCTCGTCCAGGTAGCCCTTCTGCTTGCTGAACAGCTCCTGGGGACAGAGGAAGGGGCGGTGAGTGCCGCAGCCCTGGCCGAGAGCTCCTCCCGCCGGCTCGACCCCTCCTCCCCCGGTACCTTTTCGTTCTCCAGGTCCAGCATCTTCTGCTGCAGCGCAGACTCCGTCACCTCTATCTGCTGGAGCCACTGTGCACAGAGAGAGCCGCTGCCTCAGCCACCCCGCAGAGGTGGCAGCCCTGGCTGCAGCTTTCCCCAGACCTGCCCGCGGCCAGCCCGGGCTGCGAGTCCCTCCTCACACCCACAAAGCCAAAGAGGAGAATTTAACCATTTTACTGCATTTTTTGGTTTATGTATCTATTGGTGATGGAAAAAAGAACTCGAAGCCTAGATGTTTACTTTCTAACATCACTTTGCTAATCGAGAAACGTTTAAAAGAAGCCAAGTCTGTCTGCATTGCCTGAACACCACCTTTGTTTTGGTCAAAGCCAGAGCACTCCCTGGTGAAGAGCGATGGCCCGTGCCGGAGCTGTGGCTGCACCCCCTGCTGCCTGCTGGGCCCTGCAGCTGCTTTTACCTTCTCGGCCAGCGTGAGGACGGTCCTTGCTTGTATGACAACTACTTGCTCTTCGTTGGTCAGATTCTGCACCAAAAGCAGAGTATAATTACAACAAGTCCCAGTGTCTTGCTACTAATCCACTACTTGGGCCACTGCTGTGTTAAATAAATACGAAGTTAAATATGTTCAAGGAACAATAAACTAAGGCAAAGAAAATCAGTATTGTAACACAACGTTGTTGGAAAAACAGTTGTAACTGTTCATGCTGAATTCTTCTCATGCATGCAGTTAACTCTTGTAAAATTCTCACATTTATAAAAAAACACAGGTGGCACTGGATCTATCTCCCCCCCACAAGGAGCACACAGGCAGTTAAGCTCAAGCTTAGCATGGTTTGCACTGAGAGAAGAGATGCAGCCATAGGTCCTTGAGTTCAGTTGTATGTGCAGTAGGTTAGTGCACAGCCCTTATTTTGCACAGCCGAGTGGTGATTTTGGAGAACATTTAAGGTGTTAGCTATTCAGTCCATGCTTTCATGCTTTCTAAGGAAACCAAATTGCTGAAGCCATGTTTGGCATTGCATCCCAAACCTTGGTCTTACTCTGACCAAGTAGGAGAAATGAATCCTCCTAGGCTGAGACCTGCATTTGTTCAGACCCAGAGCCACCAGCTCTCATTCCCACAGGGTAGTTAGAAGGGTGCTAAGAAGAGTGACTATGGTGAAACCATCCTGCACGGGACTAACCTGACAAAAATAATTCCACTGAAGACAACATTACCACAGGGATTAATGGATTAATGGGTATTATCTCTCTGCACATTGCCAGGGTCAGTCTTATCCCATCACTATGAAACTTGCATCTATCTTTCTTTTATTCTTTGCACAAAAAAGATTTTAGGATTCTTCATATTTCTGCCAGTGTGAATATCATTAGCTGTAGCAGTGAAGAGTATTAATTGTGCCAATGGGTTTCACGTCCTCCACTAACTCCTGGCTTGATGCTGTGGGGCAGAGGGTGTAGATACAGGCACTGGGGACAGCAGGCATGATGACCCCACTGCTTTAACTGGGTGGGGGGATAAGAGTTGCTTCCAGGCTGCCCCCACAGCCCCGGGGATGGATTTTTTTCTGGGGAGGCACAGGGGAGAGCTGGGGCAGCTCGGGTGAGGAGCTGTGAGCACAGAGGGGACCTCGGTGGGGACCTCTCTGCAGACCCCATGTTGGCAGTGGGGTGTCCCAGGCAGAGCCCCAGCTGTGGGTTCTGAGAGAGCCTGAGCTGGAGAGGGACTCTGCTCTCCTCCTCCCCTCACAGCCACGGGCTCTGTAAGCAGACAAGAGTCTGGGAAAAAAAGGTCCAAGGGCATATATATCTTCTATATACATAACTGTGTGTGTAATTATTCACTCCCATTTGCTAAAGCAGAAACACTTTCAAATTTCTTATCATTTGCTGTGTCTATTCATGCTGCTGCTGTAACTTTTCACTTAATATCCTGGTTACTATCGAAGGTTTGTGGGTTATTAGACAAAATCCAAACACACAGCTGCTGGAGTGCAAAAGCAAAGCAAATGCAGAGTAAGCAAATAAAGAAACCAGGTGTGAAGAAAGCAAACACTGGAGTTTCAAAATGTTTTCCAAATCATTGAAAAAACCCAAAGCAACACCGTGACACCACCGTCCTGCATGGCACTCACCAGAAGGCTCTGAGCAAAACATTAAGAAGCCCAAAAGCACCCAGCTCATAGCCCAGTGCTTGGACCACAGGGAGGCCAGGCTGAGCAGCAGCAAACAAGAAGGCTTTGGAACATGACATGAGGACAAATATTTACCAAAGCATGCACAATTTATTAAAGGAACATACACTTACGGCGTTATCCCCTAAAATGTCCAATTTTTTCATCAGCTCTGCTACTACTATGTCCTAACGAGAGAGAAATGGAGAAGGAGGAGTCAGAGCAGAGCGCCTGGTTTGGCACGGGGGGAGGGAGGCAGGAAGCGAGGATCCCTTACTGTTACACCTTCTGCCTCGCAGTACACCTGCAGGGGGCTCTTCCCCTCTGTGAAGGGGCCGTGGTGGAAGGTGATGGCTGGCGAGCGTCTTTCTCTCTCCTGAAACGACAGGAATTGGCTCGTTACCCGCCAGGGCACGTCCCCAGTGGCAGCTTCACCAAGAGCTCGAGAACCTGGTTTGGAAAAGGCTGACTCTGACTGAACACACTGAGGAGCAGTCTTACTGAGGAGTGGCTTCTTTCTGAGGTTTATTTCCTCCTGCACCCTGTGGCCACTAACAGCCAGGAGCAAGGGCTGCTCCCCTGGACACTCCACGTGCTTTGGGTGGCCTCCACCTCACCACAAAGCAGGTCAGATGGGCACGTTAACAGCACCAGTGCTTTCCCCATGTGCTTCCCCATTGGGCACCAATCATGACCTATGATTTTGGCTATGTAACACATCTGAGCAAAGCTCCACACCTCTACCTAATATAACATAGGTAGCATTTACATTGTCCTTGTGAGCAGCTGCTTTGTTAACCTCTCTGTGGAGAATTTCAAAAGCAGTTTCCAAGAGCACATAGATTCTGTTTATACAGGTAATGGTATATAAACAGAAGGCTCAGAAGAGGAACTGCAGCAGTCTAGGCCACACGACTCCTTCTCTGCACACTTAGCAAGAGGTGACACCCACCAGTGAATTTTAGCAATGAAAAAAAGTTCTTTTTTTCTTCTTCTTTCCCACATGTGATCTGTTCTGGTTTTATCTCTGCATTTTCAGAACAGATGGAGTATAGTAAAATGTGTGTCTACATCATGAGCCAGTCCTCTGGAGCTTAAAATGACTGAGGTAGCAAGCCTGCTGGAACAGCCTATCTATCTAGAGCATCGACCCCTGGGTGTCTGGGGACTTCTTCTCTTCTATTTTTTGTATGAACCCCTTTGGTCTCGTGCAGTGCCAAGTGGCTCTCCACAGTAGACATGGGCTAGTTCCCAACCCCGTGGTGCCCCTGGCGTGGCTCACACAGCCCAGGGCAGGACACCAGCAGCAACATGTGCTCACTTCAAGCTCCAAGATCCTGAACTCCAGGAGCTCATTTTGGTCCTTCGCGTCCTGGACATCGTGTTTCAAACGGGCTTCCTCGGCTTCCATCTGCTTTATCTGCAAAACAGAGGGATGTGGTGTTGGCCCCATGTCACTCCAGTCCCACCACGAGCAGCTGGGCTCAGCACGAGGGTCCCAGCCCAGCCCGGGCTCAGCAGGGGCAGGGACATGTGGGGCCCCCCAGAGCCACTGTCCTCACACGGCCACGAGCAGGACGTTGTGTGGGGCAGCAGGGAATGCCAGAAAGCCACTTTTTCTGGGCAGGCTTGTAAGGGTCCTGTTATTATACCTTAGTCATTTCCAGTAGAGCTGTGTGATACAGACCAAAATATTGCACCTTCTGCATTCCTTAAGCTACAAGTATTATCTGAATGATACAGATAGAAACACTGAACACCTTTTCTACCAGTTCTTGGTTTCTTCTATACAGTGCTTGCTTCTCTTCAATCCACTTCATGTCCTTGAAAAAGAAATGACCAATATTTAGGTGAAGCTGGCAACATTCAGCACAAACACAGTATTAATTATGTCACTAAATCACACATATAGAAAAAAGGGACAGAATAATACTGCATATGAAACAGCAATTCCATTATTTGAAAAAATAATTTCCTAAGTTAAACTTTTCCATCTTAGTTTAACAAAGACTTTAGTGTTCAGATGGAATAGAAACACTCCAATGATTAAAAACTCTTTCAAATTAAAAAAAAAAAAGATTTGCATTAAAAGGGATATTTCTAGCTATGTATCCCTATTAAATGTCTATTGCTCTGAATAGAAATTACATATTTCTGAACCCTGGCAAAAATAAGCTTTATTTTGAAATGAATGTCTTAGTGTGATGAATATACAAACTCCACAAGACCCAGAACATTATGTGCCCATAAGGTTAAGAATAGTAAGAGGTTAAGCTGAAAAGGTAACAATCAAATTGTTTAGTATTATTTTAAAGTTCTCAAAAAGCATTTTCTGGTTGTTTGTTTTAATTATTTTTTTTAAAATTTATTTCCTGGAAAAGTAAGACAGAAGCTAGAAACAGCCTGGGAATATTTCTGCTGTTTCTGGTATGTCTGCTTGGATGAACCAAAGCAGCTTCTGGAAGGTCACCTCAGGACTGTTCTGTAAGTGTGTAAACACCCACTAGCACCCACAGTATTCATGGGACAGTAACACCCCCAGGCTGGTCTCTGGGCCCCTGCCACCCCCAGGGGCTGTGCTCAGCCCCCTGCATTACCTGCCCCTGCTCAGCCAGGGCCTTCTCCAGGTCTTCTATCTGCGCCTGCGAGCGGTGTATCTCTGCCTGGAGCTGCTCACGGGTCTGTAGGATACCAGGGAAAAGGGAAAAATAAACAATCAAACTTTCTCTAAAAGACAAATCTAACAGAGATACAGGAAATACTTAAAGCATCAGACATGTTTAACAATAATTTTTAAAGTTCTTTGGCAGAATACATTTGCAGCTACGCACACAGCATTAATGACAAACAGAAGCCTGTAAGGTAGGGTGATAATTTCGAGGTGAAGTCAGGACTAACTCAGCAGCACCCTGGGAGGCAGGGAGCAGCACAGCAAAGGGTTCTCAGGCTCTGCCAGGCTGCAGGGAGCAGGCTGCCCACTCTGGAGGAAGCTGCTGGGAGGCAGAGATTCATTTCTCTGTGCAAACAAGTGAACAAAACTCTCATGCCACAATCTGGGGCACACCTGTTCCCTGTGTTTTTTTGAGGAGTTACAAAGCCCAGAAGAGACCCCACAGAGTTGATGTTACACACTGGCAGACCACAGTGACTTTAGTGCCTGTCCTACAGTCTAACTGTGTGCAGTGTAATTTTTTACTGTACTTGTAGATTCATACTTATTTAAACATACACAGCCTGCCTACAGGTGTTTGCTGGAGAATAAACCATTATTACTAGATGGTTTATTAATTGAATATTGTTTTATGGAACACTTTCTTTCCTCAAACCATTTATCTGCTTGTATAAAGACAAACCTGTTTATCTTGTTATTCAGAATGGAAATATCTCACTTGTCTGCATTGTTCTCTCTCTCTTATCTCCCTATGGAAGGAGTAAAGTCAAGTCTCTTCTCCAGCTGAGCATTTTTCCATTACCAGTCTCTGTAAGGTGCAGTCCCCAGGACTGCAGAGCAGAGCTTCTGGGAACGTCAGGTTTTGTGCAGTTTGGGTGTTCAGTGGGTGAGAGGGTCTGTGTCTGCCAGACAAGAGGTGCTGGGAGATGAGGGGTGCCCAGTCTGGGCTCTGGGGTACTCACCAGTGAGGGCAGTGTGAACCTAGCTGTTCATCCTTTGTGTTATTCAGCGGGAGGAAAACAGACTAGTTCTATAGGCAGGAAAGCTGAAACTGCAATCACTGTAACAATGGACTCCATCTAGAGGAATCTGGCCACTGGTTCTATGCTGGCTGGGGCCAGGGAGCTGCCCAGGGCTGGGACAGTCACAGCTCGTGGTACGTGGTGCTGTGCCACAGCTGGTGGAGGCGTCCCCACCTGAGCTACCCTGTTGGGTGATATGGAGCCCCCAGCATCCTCATCCTCACCTTGAGCTACTGTGAGTGTTCCTGGGCAGTGCATTCAAACAATAGATACAGAGCCATTCAAGACTTTGCAGTTACAGTTCCCCTGTGAAACAGCAACTGCTAGCTGAGAACAGGATCTGTCTGTGTGTGCAGTAGCCACCCCTGCATTCTGTGCATGCTACGTCCTGCCAGTGCCCGGGATGCTCAACCTGCTCATGATCTCCTGCCAGATGTCTGGGCCCCGTGGGCTGTGTGAGGAGACAGGCAGCACAGCACAGCACAGCACAGGATGCTTCAAACCTTAATTAAGGAAAAGAATCTCAGCTACAGGCCTTCTGAACACTTTATGAAGCATCATGTAATCTCACAGAACCCAGAAGGAATTAAATACCAAGCATTATATATTTAAGGCTATCTGCCCTGGATTTTTTATAGAAAAAGAGCTTAATCTTAAGGATTTCCCATAAAAATTCTCACTGAATTTCTCTGGAACTGATCAGAGGTGAAAAGACTAAATTAGTCCTGGTGGTTGCTCCAGCACACCAGCCCCTCATGGGCACTGCTGGAGGAGCTGGCTGGGGTCAGGGACCCTGGAGCCCACCTTGGCAGCAGCCCAGCCCGCTCCCCAGCCAGCCGCGTTAGCCTGAAAAAAAGCGTTAGCCTGACCCCAGCTTAGCCTGAAAACAGCCTGAGCAAGTACAGTCAGAAACCCCCATACAATTACAATCCTTTATTTTCATGTAATATAAGCCATTTAGACCTTAACTTCTCGTTCTGCATCCAATGTTCCTCCGACCTGTTCTTGCAATAGGGCGTAGGCTCGTTGCAGGGCCTGGTACTCCATCGTCAGCTGCCGAAACCGCAGTTCTGTCTCTTCCTTGGCCATGCCCTGGAAGTAAAAATAAGGATGCATTGCACCAGTTGCTTCTGTTTATGGAATGAAAATGAAAAAAAAAAATAATCATAAGATGGCTTTCTCTAAAAAAGGCAACACTAAGTATTTTTAAAATGCAGTTTAGGAAGCACAGGACTAAGGAATTTGTTGTGTGCCCTTAGACTATTCCCCTTTTGTTCCTTAAGCATCTCTGCACACACTTACTGCAAGAAAATTCAATATAGAAGGAAAAAAAAAAAAGATAATTCCCCTTACCTTGGAAAGATACAAACTTGCCATCCCTACATACTAACACCTGACTCGCCCTTTATCACTGTAGCAGGCAGAGTCACCGTGGTTACAGGTGAAGATACAGCTGTCTTGAAACAACAAAAGGTTTCCAGTCTGGAGAAGAAGCCAAGCCTGACAGTCTTACTCAATTATTGAAGCACTAATCTAGAGTTAATACTTGTAGAACTGGCAACATCGACATGAGAAGAGCCCTTCATCTTCACTCTCCTCACATCCCCCTGCCCTCAGTGCTTTCATGTCAGGGAGACAGGAATATTTCACTCAACATGAAATGAAATTACACTGCTGGCTGCATGCATAAACTGTGCACTGTCTGAACTGGGGAAAAAAGTCACTACAGGAATGAGAAATAAATGGGCTCATACATATAAAGACACCTCCAGCTCCCCTGCAGTGCAGCACCCACCTGGCACCCAGCTGTGTGTCTTTTATGATGGAGGTTCGAGTTCCTCAGCATCCCTTTAACAGGTCTAATTACAAGCCAGGTGACATGGCAGAGGAAGGATTGCAGCCAGCATCCCATTAAAGGGTGGCAAGGAGTTATCAGCACTTGTTTGGTTAGTACAAGATTCTTGTTAAACCCAGGAACATGTAAGTGCAGGGATCTGACAGAGGCTCGGGCAGCGTTTGGAGGGAAGCCCTGCAGACCACCAGGAATAATCACTTCTGGCTGAGCTGCCAGCTGCCTTTGTGTACTCTGCACTCAGAGCCTCCAGGAGCGTCCCCACCTGGGGGCAGGGGCCAGGACACAGCCCTTGCTCTGGAGCCTGGGGCTCCGTGTCACCCTTCACTCCTCCTCCCACAAACCTTCCCACTCTGTGCTGAGGTCAACAGGACAGATAGAAGGACCTGAACCAAACTACACGGGCACGAACCTGCAGCAGATCTCTGTGGGGATAGGTATTCCTGGGGCTCTCCAACTTCTTCCAACTTCAGGCCTTTTTAGACCTCTAATTTATGAAACCATTATAAATCTAATATTCTTAGGACATAATATTTCCAGCTTAGCTAAAAGTTCTGAAATTACGGAAGACTCAAGATCGAGAGTTAATGACCAGCATGCACAGTATTAAATTTAATGTAAATTTTAAGTTTTCAGGTTGGGGGTGACAAATAAATGATAGAATGGAACAGAAATTTCGTTAAAAAATAGCAGCGAGGCTTCAAAACAAAATAACACGTGTTTGTGATGGATACCTCTTCCAAGTCATCTTCAGGAGTGCAAGGGGTTTGATCCGTCCGGTCGGTTTGGTATGAGATAGAGGAACCATCAGACTCCAAGGAAGCTTCTTCATCATAGCCAAAAAACGTCTCCACGACCGGCTTCTGGCAGAGACAAGGGGTCAGGCAGGGGCCGTGCCAGTGGCTGCGCTCGCTGTGGGGTCCCACAGCCCCACGGCCCCGCCTGGCTCTGCTGCACTGCCCCCGTCCTGGCTAATGGGGCAAGATGGGTGTGCCCATCTCAGTGTGAGGTGGGACCTGGGCACTGAGATGCCTTTGCCATCCACTGCCACCACCCCGGTGCCCCTGCTGCCACCACGGTCACAGGAGCAGGCAGATTTGCAAGGCTCTGCTTGGTGGTTCTCAGCTGATGGCACAGCAATGCTGTGGTGGCCTGAGGAAAAGCATTTTTCCACTCCAGGCTGCTTCTGTTTGAAAGAACCAGGGAGTGGTGGTGAAGAAAGATTTACTCTGAAATGCTTGAATGCCACAGATGGCATTTCAAACACAGTTCTAAACTAGTTTTAATTGTTGCTATACAAAAATATTTCATGATTTGGGCTTTTTGTTTTCGTTTGCAGTGGGTAACTTGAAGGAGACAAAGCACAGCTCTGAAAGGCCTGGCTGCCCCTTTGCAGGACGGCAGGAGGTAAGGAGTGACCTCATATCGACCTCAATTATAGATTCATTAGCTCAGCACCACCTCAGTTGTTTGTATGCAGCACACAGCTCTCTCAGGTCCCTGGCGTTGCCCCTTACGATGTCCTCACAGTGTTAATATTGATATTTACATCCTGCCAAGTCTTCCTTAACTAACATTTTCTTTTTCCCTGAGCTCCAACCGTTGCTTCTTGCAACCAGCAAATTTTGTGTGTTACTAAACTCCATAATGAATTATTTACAACCTACATATGTTTTCAGGCAGTGCCATTAAAAGATCATTTCAAGATGTGTTAATTCATAAAATCTGTCTCATCTTCAGACAATCACATACCACTGAGTCCCGCGGGATTGCTCGGGGTAAACGCAGAGCCTGAAAACACTCGTAATGTGCAGTGCAAACAGTTCCCCTGCCCCTACCACATCTTCCCTGAATGTCCCCACAAAGGCTCTGAACACCCTCGAACAGCACAAGCTGAATTTCAGATGGGGCCCCGTTTGCAGACCCTCGAGGAGAAGGTTCCCCGTGAGGCTCGGTGGCACTCAGGGCACCCCGGGAAGGCAGCGTGCCCAGACACAGGTCACAACACAAGCTTGTTTTTTACCTTAGGAATTCTTGTCATTTTTTTCCTTTGCTTCCTGTACCTTAGCAGCTTGTCACGTTCCTGCAAGAATCACACACACGTTAGTTGTTTTTGGAGAGCTGTTATTGGCACTATCCGTGCCCATGGCAGCAGCCATCAGGCAATGCAGTCACCGTGCCCACTTCGGGCCATGCTATGGCTCTTCTCTGGTGGGTGGGCTCCCCGACCAGGCTGAGAGGCAAAGACCAACTCCTGCCCTTGGCTCTGGTGCTGTGCACGTGTCACAACCCACCCACACAAAATTCAGAGCCTGTCTGAACCCCACACCTCCAGCATCAGCTGACTTGTCTAAGATCTGCAGGTTCTCACTGCCTCTGAAAAGATGTTTGAGCATTTATTGCTGCCAGCAGGTTTTTCTGTCCAGTGTCACGTCACAGAGTCATGTCAAGTTTTTGTAGTACTGAAAAAATGTCTTCATTCTGGATTGCAGACACAGGCAAAGTCCAGGATTGAAGAGAGTAAAGTTCAAACTCGAAAACTCCTATAGCAGGGCGTGCTGGGGCAGGACAGGGGGTGGCAGATTTAAACTAAAAGAGGGAGATTTAGACTAGGTATCAGGGAAGAAGTTCTTCACCATGAGGGTGGTGAGCCCCTGGCCCAGGCTGCCCAGAGAGGTGGTCGCTGCCCCATCCCTGGCACCATCCCAGGGGAGGTTGAGGGCTCTGAGCACCCTGCTCTAGCTGGGGATGTCCCTGTCCCTGCAGGGGGTTGGACTGGGTGACCTGGAAAGGTCCCTTCCCACCAACCCAGTCTGTGACTGTGTGGCAATCTTCCATGTTAAGCACTTGGTAAGGGGATGAGATGACTCTGTGGGACATTGCTGACGTGCCTCTGCCACCAGCCCAACGGCAAATCCCAACATGGGCAGCAGTGACAGAAGAAAATCAAGTACTTGCTCCACTTGGCAGCAGACATGTTGCTGCACACGTGGGTGATGAACAAAGCAGGGCACATTTTATTCATACATATTGGTGGCTTAAGTCCATAAAATCTTTACTGATAAAAACAAAGGGATGAGTTCACCAAGGGCAGTGACTGAGAACATCCCAGTATGGGTGAGACAAATCTAGTGACAATCAGGCTTTTAAAAAATTATGCAATTCCAACCTGGCAGAGCTGTCCCAGAGACAGGGGACACTTGTTACTGGCCATCAGGACAGAGTGACCAGGCTGACTTTTGCCTCTGAGTTCATCCTAGTGGTTAAAAGAACAGCTCTCCTCGCTCACCAGAGCTCTCCACTGCCATTACATTTTTCTGTGGTGAACAACTTCTGCTGATACAGCCCTTGACAACATCTATGCTGAGAAACCCCTTGTGTTAGCTCGCTGCCTGAATGGAGGTGTAGGTGATAACAAATATTATTACACCCTGCTTGCTTTTCTTGAACAGCAGTTTAAAGCACACCAAGATGAGGATGAAG